CACACACACACACACACACACACACACACATATATATATATATATATATATATATATATATATATATATATATATAGATATATATATATATACCTTCTCAAGTGGGCGAGTAATACGGCACCATCAAGATATTGCCCGGCAACGCAAACCATTCAGCATCAAAGGGACCAACGCGCTGCAACGCCTTTTCAAAATACTTGAGTGCCAACGAATACTCTTCCGGGTCAAGCACCGTAACCAAGAGATCTGAAAAACTCACACGCTCCTGATCAACGGAGACTCCACCTGGATAATCGGATGAATATTATATCCCAACCGTGACATCACGTCCGCCACCGGATTATCTTCACCCGGAATATGTTTCAAAACCAAGTTAAAGTCCCGCAAGACCTGAACATACCGACCCATACGCCTGCTCCGCACAATATCTTCAGACTTATACGGCTCCTTCTGCATCATAGTCACTAACAGCTCATGATCAGTATAGACCACCAAGTCATGCACCGACCGCCTAACTATCCGCCAAGCCTTGTGCAACACGTACACAATAGCCAAGGCTTCCTTGTCCGTAATGTGGTAGTTGAGCTGCGCAGCACTGAACTTGAACGACCAGAAGCCTACCGGACACAGTTTATTATTGCGCCGAGCAAACAACCCCCCAGCCACACCAACAGAATCACAAGCATCACAATAGAGCTCCAGTTTATCATAAAACTCCGGCTCAATCAAGACTGCACGTTCAGCCACACCCTTCAACACAGCATCAAACGCTGACTGCTGAAGCGGACCCCACTCAAAAACAACGTCGTCTTTCAACATATCAGACAACGGTGCTGTGATCCGCGCATAATCTGGTATAAACACCAGCCAAACCGTGAGGGTATGAAACCACGATTTCAACAAATCCTTCGTCGTTGGCCGAGGCATCCGCAGAATCGCCTCCAACCGATCCTCAGAGATGGACGCACCTTTCTCATCGACCATCCGGCCCAAAGCCAAAAACGATTGTGTGTGATACGCAAAGCTAGACTTGGCCAATGACAACTTCACATTGTGTTAGAGTGCAAATGTATGTATTTATTTCTGACCTTACCTTTGGTCTTATACCTAACGTGTTTGTGCTAATGTTCAGCTGCTTGGGCTGGAAAGGGTAAAAACTCATATGGTCAGTATGAGAAAACTCATGCAGAACACTTTAACACTCCGATCTTTTTTATTTCAACTTCTCTGGAACTAAATCTCACGCTGATCACATGATGCCTTTCCGCATAGCTTGTGACTCACATAGAAGCGCAGCTATTATGAACATGTTGCGGTTGACAGGATTAATCCACTCTCGGGAATCGGTTGAGAAACTTAATGTAGTCTCGGAAGTCGGTTAAGTAATGACTCAACTCTCGAGAGTAATTTGAGCAACTTGATTAGCTCTCGGGAGTGAGCTAACGCTGATGACTTAGCTCTCGGGAGTGAGCTAACTCGGATACCTTAGCTCTCTCACATTATACTTCTGACAAGCCGCCACAAGTATCACCAGAGCATTCCAATGCTCGCGACAATCATCATGCCCTGTACCAATATCATCAATGTACACCTCATGATTAGGCACCTCATCAAAAACCAACTCCACGTGCTTCTGCATGATCCACGAGGCCGGCTTCAACCCAAACGGCATCCCTATGAACTTGTGAGGTCTCCACGGAGTCCAAAAGTGGTATACTGCTGCGACTCTTTACTCAACTTTTGCTGACAGGAGCCCTGACCAAGATCAACAATAGTACGATACTTGCGTCCCCTGGCTGAAGACAAAAATTCCCGCTCTGTCGGTACAGGGTACACCTCACACTCGAACTGCGTGTTAGTCTTCTTAAAATTAACACACAGCCACCAATTATCAGCAGTCAACGGAACAAAGCCAGGCTTTTTATGCACCAAATGTGGCATATCATACCACTTCATATTCTTCACCTATGACTTGGTCAACTTCTCCAAGATACCACCCGGATTACAGTCACCGATCTTAACCTTCAGAACCTCCTGAGCATCCATATCCTTGTGATTGTACATATGGTACTGCGGCACAGCATCAGCACACACCTGTAAGTTTCGGTCTATCAAGACGAAATTAACGCATTAGAGTAATTAAACGCCTAGGTTAAGTCTAAGTATAGTTAAATTCGAAGAAAAAAAACAAAAACGAAATGAGTCTTTTAGTATAGTTAGGTATGCCTCGTGAAAACAGCAATACTCTGAGGGATTGTGAGGCTGAAACATTGCCTATATATATAATCATCTCAGTACTGTTTTCGCCGAAAGGATTTTATTTAGTGTTTCGTTGTCGCTCTAATAGAAACTATGGTATGTTTCATTGGGGCGAATCCGACAGACTCATAAAATCCTATCTATAGAAAAAGAAAAAAAAGAAGAAAAAAAACTCCTGATGTCCATAGTTATTGCCTTAATCAATAACTTACCACTTATCAAGAATTACCGACTTAGCCCTCATCAGACTGGCACATATGGTTGGTTGAACGGAGGATAAACTAAGCAACGCTCATAGTTCTTAGAAACCTATGTTCGGTTGAGCCATCTCGCTACCGAAGTATTCAGATATAAATAGATTTGGAAAGTAAATATAGTTCTATTAATAGAAATAGACAAAATCTTATGTTTGGTATTTTACTGGGGCCTTTTAATGACCTTGTCCAAATATCTGATATGTAAAATGGAAAAGGCATTAATTAATAAAACCGTTAAAAACCATTTAAGAAACTTAAGTTCTTCGTACTATTAAGAGTACGTTTATAGTTTACGTACTGCATAAGAGTACGTTTATAACATAGAGTCTAATGTGGAGGCCCGGCTATTACACATCCGCAAGCCTGTGGCACTCCAATCTCTTTGCCCAACGCCCTCAACGGTCCTTCATCAAACGACTGAAAGTCCTTATTCAACCGACCTGGGTCTATGTCTATGTCACCCACCGGTAAGTTCATTGGCGCTAACACATCTGGAATCCGGGGCAGAATATGCTCCTCAACCAGGTCCAACTCATCCTCTTTGTGCATCCGCTCAACACGCTCCTTCAATACCTGAAAGTGCGCTGTAGCTGCTGCCACATACTGCTTCTGCATTACACTAGTCAACGCACCTGTTACGTGTATAACATTCATCTGACGCCACAGCCTCGCCTGCGTACCATTCCGATCTACCTTAGCTTTCCATGGACGACGGTTTGGAGCCAAAGCCCCTACCCCCCGTCCTTGCTTCGGTGTCAGTACAGTCTCCGGCTTGACCAACGCCTGCTTCCTTGGCAAATCTGCTCTTGATACCAATTTAGGCCTCATTGCTTCATGCAGCAAAAGTCCATTCTATCTCCATTCTGCACTAGCGTCAACCGCTTACTGCTATTCAACATCAAGTTTAAGCCATCCTTAACCATGGTGTCATGACCTATCAACACATCCGTCTTCATTGGTAGCGAGCCCACTACCAGGAGCCCACTATTGCAAGTATCGCTCATGCCAACTCTTCATCTGCACTGGTGCCTTAACCACCCCTAAGGGCGCAACCGTTCCCATTTCAGCAACACCTTCAAACGGCAGACCCATGTACTTAGCCACATCCAGACCAGCTCTGTCTACCAACTCCTTTGTAATCAGATTGGGAGTAGTACCTGAGTCTGCATAGACCGTTGTAGGAATCCATCCTCTCTCTCCTGCAATGACACTGCCACTATTAGCCGTGGCTTCGTTCGTCTAACACCGCTGACCCTACAGCACCT